TACAAATAGTTTCTGAAGCGCTTTACTATATATATTTAAATTTATTAAGAGCGGATTGTTTAATAGCTTAAATATTACTATTATATTCGGTCTTTAAGAAGGTACGGAGGTCGCTCTATATAGGCGTATTATAAATAATATTATATCCGGGTTTATTATAGAGAGTTAATATATATTTAATTTATATATTCTTAGAATTACTTTTAATATAATTAACGGCGAATGAGAGGGAAATATAGGGATATTCTTAAAAATATATATTAATATTATAGAGGTAATTTTATAATTATAAGAAATTTTCGCTAGTAAATTTAATAATATTATATTTAGGATAGTATTTAATATAGGCTAATATAGTTATAATTAATAAAGGGGTAATTATAGTAATAACTACTAATAAAGGGGTAGTAAAGGGAGATATAGTAGAAATATAAATTTAGTTATAGAAGAGGTAATTTTAATAGTAGAACCCGGTAAAAATAAAAGGGTAATTTCCTACTAAATTTTATTTAGCGAGGCCTACGAACGTAAGTTATTCCTATTAGAATATATATAAAGGGAGGTAATTAAGGAGGAGTTTAATTATAGCGAACTGAAATTCGAATAATTACTACTTACGTACGAATTTATTAACTTTCGAAGTTTGGGGGTACGAATAGGGAGCTTAGGGCGGTATAGGGGGGTAATTTTTATTATTATTTTCTTTAATAGATTTTATAGTAGGTTAGTATTATTATAATAAGGGTGGAGGGGGTTAAATTATTTTAATTATAGTAATTATAAGGGTAATAATACGAGAGGGATAAGGAATAGCCTTGGTAGTACGAAAGATAAATTGGCCGCTACGTATATATATTTTAATAGTATCGGTTCAATTCCTAGAGGAAGAGTTATTAATTTATTAGGAATGTAGGCGAAAGGTAGGTTGAGGTGACTACGGTCGTGGCTGTACGTAGGGGACGGTAAATTAGGAGTTAATTTAAAAATATATTAATAGTTACTAATTATAATGAGATACGCTCCGTTGAACCTCTTTTATACTTGTACAAACTCTATTCTTCCGCTAACGAGCATTATGGAGCTTTATATTAGTTTGGCGCCTCGGCGCAGTGCCGGATTATTCTTCCCGTAGGTCCGACCCGATATGGGCGTTGTTGTAAATGATTCTACGCTTCCGTTAACGAAGGGGAGTAGCAGCCGCTGAGGTGCCTCTATATACGAGCTCTTAGCCTCTTGACAATCGGTTTAACTCTAACGCCCCCTCCTTTTAATATTATAATTGTTTACCTACCCCCTAACGTTATAAACTTTTATTAACTTATAAATTAGGGTATTATTAATACCTTTAAATTATATTACTATCGTTATTATTTTGAATAATTATATTTTAAAATTAATAATAAAGGGTAGGATCCCCTTAAAGAAATGAATTTGTAATATACTTTTAATTAGGTATTAAATACTTAGTATAATAGTATTAAATAATAAATTATTATTAATTATTAGAAAAAGTCTACTATTTTAGGTCTAAAGGAGAATTTCCCCCTACGTAGCTAGTTCGAGAATAGGCCTAATAACCTTAATAAGGTCTTTAAAAAGGCTATTAAAAAGGTAAAAGAAAGGATAGATTTAGTTAATTTTATAAATTCCGTCGATAAGAACCTTATACCTAATAAACTAGTTAATATAGAAGAAGTATTTAATTATATTATAAAGGAATAGCTAATTAAAATTTATAATATTTATACTATAGAGGACGATAAGGACGATTAGGAGTTTAGACCTCCTACAATTATTAGCGCTAAAGAGGTAGTAGCCGATATTATCGATTTATTCAACTGATCGGTTAAGAAGGATATACTCAATTTTGACAATGTGCAAGCACTAAGAAGAATAAGGAGGAAGGTGGAAATACATATTATATTACGTACTAGTATTAAATAGATTACTTTACTAGACTTTTATAGTGGAAAGTACGTAGATATAGGTAAAGAAAGTAATTACCCTAATCTCGACCCTGCTCTAGGTTGTAAATAGCTTTAAATCTAGTCCGTTTTGGGAAGTTTCTATTGATATTTTGGTCGATTTTGGTATAAATCTTGGTGTTGAGCCTATTCGTGCATATGTCCCTCTAAATGCATGCAAAGTGCCGTCCCGGATTACATGCACGAACAGGGGTAATTACTGTATAATGTAATGCTGCTGGATGGTGGTTCTGAATCTCATCTCCGCCCGGCAACATCAGGCTTGGCCTCCAGCCGTCCGCCTTCGCGACTTCGATACCATGCCCCAATCAGATTATGAACGCGAACGAAGTCATGCGCATCGATGGTTGTGACGGCGGGATATGATGATGGTTGGCGCGCCAGTTTCATCAGATCCGATGTAGATTAGATGTTTCTGGTGCCGACTGCATGATGCCCGATCGTGGGTTGCTGGTGGGTAGGTACCTACACTCGGGTGGTGTGGAAAAAAAGGTCCGGACACTTGCTAGGTCTGCTTTAGTATAACACCTCAAGCGTGTTCGGACTTTTTTCACACCACCTGGTACACTACTAGTGTAGTGCATTATACTTGTGTCTTTTGTTTCTGGAGGATGAGCCGAACCACTGCAAGGTACGGGCAAGCACTCCAAGGTACCAGGCCTGGGCAGCGAGGAGGGTATCCAGCAATCAGCCAATCGGCGATGGAGCGACGAGGGACTGTTCAAAGGCTGGCTCCACCTCTTCCTTCCTACATAGTGTACACTATGGTGAGATGGGCAAGACCCGTGGGCCAGGTCGCTGACGATCGCTGCAGTGACCACACAGTGCCCTATACGCTACAAAGCCACGAAGTTTTGCCAACAATGGTTCGTGCTCGGTACTTCCCTCGACAAGGGGGTTTTACTTTGGCTCACAACCACAGTACATGTGTGGAGAAGTGGCGCTTGCCAATTCAACATGATGAGCGACGGACTCCTGCTCCAGCGAAACAGATGGGCTACAGTGAACTTCACGCCAGAGCGACCTGACGGCGGACTGGGAGGACAGCTGGTTTAAAAAAAAGGTCCGGATGGACACTCGCTGGGTATGGTTTGGTATAAGCGTGTCCGGACTTTTTTCCACACCACCTAGAGGGATGCCAACTGAAGTGGAGAGGTCAATAATGAGGAATCGACAAATGGACAATCAATGGACCACCTGACGATTAATTGCGGACGGAATGACGCGCGATGAGAGATGGCGCTCGGTCGGTACAACACACTTGCAAATGAGGTTACGGAGAGCTGCTCTGTCCGTACATCATCCGTATGTTGCAACCTTCCGAGTCCTTCATTCTCTTTGGCGCGCAGGGTGCTGGTAAATTGATGGAAGGCAAATGAAAGGGATGGGATAAATGCCAACGTCGACTAATGCGACGCAACAACAGCAGTAGCATTACTTTCAGTTATATATGTAATCGTTGTATAGGCTTGCTGGTTTGTAAAAGGTGAACAAGTACGGCCTTGCCTCGATCGCCGTCGTGACATCAACTACCACTTCGCTTCACCAAAGTGGCCCTTGATGGAGACACCTTTCCAGCACTTTGACGACCTCGTGTTATCTCATCTCTGAAATTGTTATCCGAGAATACCGGCGTCACTCCTTTAGTCTGGCGTCGAACGTTCAGCACAGTCTCTCGCTAGAATTTCCTGGCCTTCTCTGGCTTCCTTTCTGGCCGCCTTTTGGGTCCTGGACTCCCGTCCTGGGGTTTCTGACAACAGCAAACCAACAACACCAAGACGGCAGCGCCAGTATACCTAACCTATCTTGGATCTTTCAGGGGCAGGGGTTACCTTTTTCACGCCTCCCACGCCTCTCGCGCACGCTCTTTTTGGGCAGGACACACGCCTTTGATCGTGATCTCATCCATCCCCAGCTACCGTCGATAGCCTTTGTCCTCCCAGCGTCACTCGAGGCAAACAAGGTGCCCCTGACGCCCTCTTTCCTCACTTGGGCCTTTGTCATCGGCCTCACCTTGACGCCCAGAACTCCCCGGATTCCTCTCGACAACAGCAACTTCTACGGCGCTGCAACGTTGAGGACACCTCGCTGCCCTCACACCCTTCAAAAGAGTGGGAGACCGGAGAACTAGTGTAGGGGGGTGCGCGAGGGGTGCCACTTGACCAGGGACTTGTGCTGGGGTTGGCTAGCGTACCGCACTGGCAGCTAGGGGCGTTCAAGGGTCGCATCCAAGGGTTGCCGGGATAGGTCGACCACCTTCACCCTCACCGACCTGATCATCCTTCTTCGACGCTTCCTCGCTGTTTATACAATTCTTCCCGATTCCGACAACATTCCATTATCGAGACGCACCGAGACGCCATTGTGTCGTCTTCCCCGCATTTTGGCTTCCCGCTGTCGTCTAACCCACCGACAGCCTTGTGGTGCCTAGCTCCGTTCCGTTCCTCCTCGCTCGACGGAAAGTCCCAACTCCAGCTCGTGTCGCGCATTCCCCCGAGTTCCGTCTTCCATCAAACCACGAATTCAACATCAACTGCAACCGAGAAGAACATTCTACCCAGGAACCGCTTGGTTTTGTTCCGCTTGATAACCTACCGCCCGCGAACAGACCAGCCTCTGTTACTAGACCGCCTAAACGACCACCTGGCATCCAGCTTGACGTAAAGCTTTCGATCGCCCTGGGCCTTGCCTGCTTCAGGTGCTGGGTTGGAGAGACCTCGGGGATTTGGGGTGATACGTCTGGCATAGATGGTGAATGGTAATAGGAAGTGTTTTGGATGAAGCATTTGCGGAATAAAGCACCCGTTGTTACAACATTAGCTTTCGTCATTCGCCTCGCTCCTGCCAACTCCCCCCAAACAGACTTGGGGACCTGCATGGTGGTTCCTTCCAATTCAACCCTGTTCAACCGTTCAGTGAAGCGGCTCAAGCCCAAAGAAGGCAAGAATGGCTTCGGAAAGCTTCATGCCGACAGTAAAATGCTCGTCATGCGGATCCCAAGTTCCGATATCTATGATGGGCGAACATGTTTGCGCCGGAAGCTCAGATGCAGATGATAAGGCAGACGAGCCTGTTTCAGCAGCTCCGCCAGCAACTTCACTGTTTGGTCGACTGAACCCTTTTAGTGCCTTGTCTGCTGAGCAGCCTCAGGCACCTCAAGTGGACACTACTGTCGGTGGTAGGTTTCATCCTTCTTGACGTGCTTCAGATTCCCGTACTGACGATGCCTTTTCAGATCGGCTATCCACAGGTCCATCCCAAGACACCCGCGGATCGGTCAGTTTGTCGCCAAAGACCCAAAGCGGACGACCTAGTCTCGGGAGCACCGATGATTCACAACCGATGCGCCGGCCCAGCGCCTTTGCAACGGGTAATGAGAAGGATCGGGCCCCAAGCCTGCTACAACGTATGAACAGCATGACCCCGGGGCCATTTGATACGGATCGACAGCCATCGGCGAGTGGGCGCAATGTCTCCGATTTCCGTCCGACTACGCCGCTGGGACGCAGCATGACAGATTTGCGGCCAAACACACCAGCGCGAAGCATGACAGACCTTCGACCAAATACACCAGCGCGAAGCATGACAGATCTAGGACCAAACACACCAGCACGCAGCATGACAGACCTTCGACCAAACACACCAGCACGCAGCATGACAGACCTTCGACCAAACACACCAGCACGCAGCATGACAGATCTGCGATCTAACACGCCAGCAGCCAGCATGGCCGATCTGCAACCAACCACTCCGATCGAACGGCCAGGCACGTCGGCACGAAACCTCTCTACTGGACCCGGAAACCCGATGACGCCAATGAGAGGGAATGGATCTGAAGGATCTGGTCCTCCCCAGCGTGGGCCTCACCCACCGGGGCCGCCGCCACCAGGACTTGTTCAACAAGACCTGAAGCCCGACGACGCCTTCGCCATGCTGAATCGCGCCGAGACCTTTCCCCGGTCAAGCCATACTCCAGAACCCCCACACCGGACACCATCCGCACCTGGATTCCGCCCCGAACGACCCCGACGACCGTCTGAAGCAGCTAGAGACGCCGCAAGGGGCCCGGTATCAGGTCCGATGCCAGGCCCGAGGCCAGGCGCGATGCCAGGTCCGATCTCAATGACGAACGATCAAATGAGAAGGCCGAGTAGAGGCCCAGACACATCCCGTCCTCCACCACCACGAACCGGCCTCGTTCGGGCGAGAACTACAGGGCCAGATGGAGCCCGTGCCGTACCAGCCATCAATCTCGCAGAGGAATTCGGAGTAGGAAATCCATATCATACACCATCCGAATCCGTTTCATCCAATGAATCGAGCCAGGCTTCATTCGATGGTTCAACCCAGGACACTACTACCTTGGAGCGCCGACCTAGTCAAGCAAGTCAGGCTAGCTCAAGGACGAGCCCACCCCGATCTGTGGCATCCAGTGAGAGGAAAGGATCAGACACGCCCACATTTGACAGCTCTGTAACAGACCTACAGTCTATCGTGGACGAGGATGGAGGTAAACTGACGCGGACACCCTCTACGCAATCAGTTCCTTATGATGGTGGTATTCCTCAAATGCTCCGGAAGCTGAGACCACCACCCCTTAGCAAAAGGCCACCACCTCCAGAAGGTGGATATGATCCACGAATCGACCCACGCTTGCAGCGGAATAAGTCACCCTTGGCTTCGCCTGCTCTTGATCTTTCAGGTCTCGACGACCCAATGATTCGCCAATTTGATCGCGGAGTCTCTCCGCAGCCCGCACCATCTGCATCTCCGCTGCTGGCCTCGGCAACAATCGAGAGAAAGGATCGATCATCAACTGCAACCGCGAATAGCCAACAAGAACGCCCAGCGTCTCAATCGTCTCAGCGCCCTGCAGAGCGGAGCAGTCGCCAGTCCTTGTCCGCACTGGAGATACAACAACAGGAGCCGCCACAGCCAGACTCTCCTTTGTCTCCGGCAGAGGAGCAACAAATGCCTCAAATAAAAACTCAAGCCAAACAGCGACAGCCCTCTCAACCACCGCAACCCGCCGAATCGCCAGCTGCAAAGGTCGCTGAAGAGCAACAGGAACCGAAGACACAAACAAGCCCACGGGCTCCAGGACCGGACGAATGGCAGCGTAGGAGTAGCGATGGAACCGCAAGGCCGGATCAAGAACGGGAGCCGGCGCCCTCGCAGCCTCGACAGGCTCCTCCAGCTACCTCATCTCGTGGCGACTGCAAAGGCTGCAACCTGCCCATCACAGGTAAATCCATTTCCAGCGCGGATGGCCGTCTAACGGGACGTTATCACAAGGCCTGTTTCGTGTGCTCGACATGTCGCCAGCCCTTCTCCTCAGCCACCTTTTATGTCCACCAGGATCGACCGTACTGCGAGCGCCATTACCACGAGCTCAACGGAAGTCTCTGCGGAAGCTGCGACAACGGTATCGAAGGCCAATACCTCGAAGACGAACGGCGCAGGAAGCACCACGTCGGTTGCTTCCGGTGTGGCGATTGCAAGCTCGTGCTGAAGGACGGCTATTTCGAGGTCAACGGAAAGGCCTATTGCGAAAAGGACGCTTGGAGGAGGATGCAGTGGCTCGCTAGTAACGGCGCTGGGGGCCCGGGTCGGAAACCTCCTCCGCCCGGACCGCGGTTCGGACCTCCTGGAGCAGGGGGGCCACCACGGACCGGTCCTATGGGACCGATGGGACCTGGTATGGGCCGCCCCGGTATGGGTCCGGGCGCACATGACCTGCCGCCGCCGGGTATGCCGCGCATGGAGAAGCGTATGACGAGACTTGGCATGATTTGAGCTGCTTCAGTAGAGGCACTATTGAGAGCTGACTGATGGTTCTCGTCCAATTCGATCACATATTCCTTCCTACCCTATGTGAAGGGAGGAGGGAGAAGGGTCGCTCTTAACCGGAATATCGTCTCGGCCTCTTTCTCCCTTGCGGGATGCACACATACGGTTACTCGCGTTTTGTGCGCAAGAAACATTCTCTTTGGGATGTAATCAATACCCCTTGACTGGGTTTACCTGCTTCACTTTCTTGATTCATTTCTGATACCCATGCCAACTAGCTTGGCTTTGTTTACGACAAAGTTTCTTTTCTTTCTTTTTTCTATTTTTCTTTCCCTTTTTTTTCTTTCTTTTTTTTCTTCTTCCTCTTTCTTCCTTTCTTTGTAAATGTACAAAAACTCAAAAAACATGTAATATCTGATGATAATCTTACAATGTATCGCAACAACAATTTAGCTCCAAGACCTGATCTATCAACCCGTGGGTAGTCATGCAAGAGCAGATGGAGATTCGCAACAGGCAGGTTAGAAGAATTGGAAGAGGGAATTAAGCTTCAGGAGTTTTTGGGCAAGAAAGCATGAGAGCGGGCTGAGGATCCTGCTGTGCCATATCAAGGATCAGCTAGTAGTGCAATCGGGAGGTTGCAGCGCCGGATTGCCCCAGGGAGCCAATGGATACGAGAGAAGGGGGGGAGGAAACGAGGAAGATAGAAGGGACAAATACTATATAGGCTGTAGCACGCAATGCGTCACGGTCGTTGATTTCAAGCTTTGGTCATCGTCACTTTCCATCTTTGTGTTCCCCCTCGTGATACGCTTGTGGGTGAGTACTGCCGACCGGAGGTGGTCTCGGCAGTTGGACTTTCTGGCCGTACTTTGCGTAGTAGAGAACGTCGAGGAAGCGAAAAAGGGTGAGTGTGACGTTCGCTTGGGGATTGTAAAACTATGTAAACGGGCGTCAGGGGTACCCGGATTGTTGGGTAGGGTAGATCTGGGGGATCTTCATCCAGGTTGCATGCATGGGCGTAGTGTATTTACATTCCTGCGGCTGGGAGGTGTGGGGGTATGATGTTGTATTGGCTATCGTGTTGAACCACCGTAGACCTAAAGTAGAGACATGTCTTGATTATGATATGGCTGCTCTCGAAATCTCTGTAGACACTCCTTACGGTCTCTTGTGATCGCTTGTTCCAGCTTCGTGAATACTCGTTCGCCGGGCTGCTACCGATGTATGTGGTGAGAGGTGTGCGATACAGGACTGGTTTGTTTCATTGTTAGTCTGGTTCTTCGGCCATAGGCTGAACAGGGGGGATATTGAGCTCTTATTGGCTCCCTCAAAGTTTTTGTTTGAAGCGACGAACAATGACCAGGGTATAATGCGCCACAGAAGCCTCCTTTTATATCTTTATCCGTCTCCATCAAGACCTTCAATATCCAAATATATGAGAGGGTAGTCCCGTACGGTACCTGTCGGCCCGAGATTCGTATGTTTTTCCACTTTCAGATAGAAATGCGCGTTTTCCTGTACCAAACTAACAAACATGCCAGTGCTGGATTGTACAGGTCTAGTGCGTTCTTTAAACCGAAGTGTTTGACAACGTCCGGCAAGCGGCCGGGTGCGTAGACCAATCCTTGGATTCTACGTACTGTGCAGAGTCAAGACTATCAGAGTTCCCGTGAGAAATCGTCAAATAGGTAGATGAGTAGCCATAAGGAAGCTAGCGAACACAGCTTATTGCCTAGTATCCCTACGGAGGAGCCTTTCGTTGTTCATTTCTGCTATTACATAGCCTGGTGTGTACAGCCCCAGACTATGCATGTGGTAATTCCTAGTCGGCTGGTGTTAGTTGTCTTGTTGATGATACCATGAGACGGGCACTTACACGTCTTGAATTGCTTTGCCTGCCCTTGAAGACGTCCGGGATACCCCTATTCTGATTTGAATCACCGCAATAGACATTATTCGTTCGACGGGAGGTCAGCGCCAGGTATGTCGATCTGGCGGAAGGACTCAAAAGCGTGGGCAGGCGCCGTCCTTGTCCAAGTCAAACAACGGAATCTACTTGGGTACCTATGTTTTCGAAGCGGGGGTTACAACAAAATCGCTCCTTCCAATTTCATCTCATCATCTGGACGTGGGTCAGTCGTAACACCGATGTGAAATACGGCCGACTTTCAGGTTTCTTCGCCAAAGAAGTGACGAAGGGGGAAGGAAAGAACGTTCCGCACGTTGCGTGTTTCATCGTGCTACCGCCTGCTGTCCTGGATGTCTCGCAGGGCCGCTTGCAGGTTGCCGGTCACAGTCGGGTACCCAGACATCTCTTTTTGATAGTGTCGTGATTGAATTCCAGCATCTATCGAGGTTGCCCGCTACCCGTATCCCTTCGAGGTTTTTTTGACTCGCTGCGCGCTACTCTACGAAGACACCTTGTCTTGTCCCTCTCCCTCTCCTCCCTTCCTCCTCAAGCGAGCGCTTCACCTCCCGCCAACTTTCTTGATCATGATTTCGACTACCAAATCACAATCTTTCTCTGTTGGATTCCCCCTAAAGTGGTACTAGGCGGGACTCTTTGACGCGGTCAGGCGGTCGTCGCCTTCATTGCGCGCTTGCAAAGCACTCGCACCTGAGGTGCCTGCAGCCATTCGAACTTCACACTCGTTTGCAGACCATGATAATCAGAATCCGGCGCCACCGGGCGCTGGGTCAGCCTCTCGTTTTTGTTTCCATTGCACTGGTCATACTTGCTACGGCAAGCTTTTTTCTTAGAAGCCAACAATACAAGTCGATACAACTGTCGGAAGCGACCGACTTCACCAAGCCGCCGCCCTTGGGTGGCTCGACAACTACGCAGGTTCATGTGATACACTCCGACACTGAGGTTGATAGTCACCAGGAAGTACCGACACAGGAGGAGTTCGAGGAGGAGAGTAGGAAGCTGTTGGAGTAAGCCGTACTCTTGAGTGGCACAAGCCACCCAGTCGAATCCAATCGCACTGACAAATTTGACCAATGTAGTGATCCTGAGGAGGGCGCAATCTACGGAAACACCCTCGAGACACTCATCGATAAAAACAAGCGAACGGCCCAACAGAACAAGTTCCTCACAAGATCAGGAAGCAAGGTACCCTATAGTATCGACGAGCCGTACATATTCAATCCATATCCACCATACAACAGTCGAACCTGGAAGTCGTCGCACTCCGCCTATACACCATGCTTGGGCCCAACTGGGAAAGAGGTTGAGGATGTCCACGTCTTCAAAGGGCATCCATCCAGGTTCCCTGAGCCTGGTTTCGGTAGCTACGATCTTTTGGGAATTGACAAGAATCTTTGCTTTGAACGAAGGACTCGATTAGGCCCGTACGGGGTGGCGCCCGTGGAGGATAAGGATGGGCTGCCGTTTGATTGGGAGACGGCGGACTGGGGAGAGCTTCAGTTGCAGTGTTTGCACAAGAACAAAGGTCGATTTGCGACGGAATATCCTGTCAACACCTTCTTCGACGGCGACAGCGGGTTCCATGTGGCGACAGAAAGAAAACACAAGGCAGACAGACCTGCAGACTCAATTATGGAGAACATGAAACGATGGTGGACTCTGAAAAAGCAATATGGATCGCTGACGAACATGACGGGTAGAACCGACAAGTCGGCAACGGAGCTAAGAAGCGCTGTTCTTCTTCGCTCTTATACGGGGAAGAAATACACAGAGAACGACAAGCAAGTTATCAGATCCATGGTGACAGAGCTGAGCTTGCGAACAGGAGGACAATATCAGGTCTTCCTTTTCGTTCATGTCAAGGAGAACCGCGACATTTGGTCGGACGACGAAGCATATGAAGACATATTGGATACCGCGGTCCCTGTCGAATTCAGAGGGATGACGGTACTTTGGGATGAGGCATCCATGAAGTTGGTATATCCTAAACTGAGCAAGGAGGCGATCCAAGTCCACAACGCACAGTTTCTGTCTGTCCAAGTATTCATGCAAAAGTTCCGAGAGTTCGATTTCGTATGGAATTGGGAGTTGGATAGTCGTCTGACTGGCCATCATTACGACTTTTTGACTAAACTTGTTGATTTTAGCAGGAAGCAACCAAGAAAGGGGCTATGGGAGCGAAACGAACGGTTTTATATCCCATCTTACCATGGCGATTACGACACGGTATTCCGCAAGAGCGTTGAACAGGCGGCTGGCCAGGATTCCATATGGGGTGCCCCTAACTTACCCGTCGTCAACCCAATCGGGCCAAAACCACCACTTCCAGCACCAGAGCTGGATCGATACGAGTGGGGTGTCGGCGAGGAAGCTGATCTCATTACCCTGTCGCCGATGTTCAACCCTATAGACAGCAACTGGGTTCTGCGCGATCAAGTGTGGGGTTACCAATCTGACGCCTTCCCAGGCAAAGATCTCCCTCGCAGGGCAACCATCATCACGCAAGTGCGATTATCGAGGAAGCTGGTCGATGCCATGCACGCCGGGAATCTGAGGGGAAATCACGTCGGCTCCGAGATGGTAGCCCCGACTACCGCTTTGGTCCACGGACTCAAAGCAGTGTACGCTCCGATGCCTGTGTTCTTCGACCGGCCATGGAACGGTACCCAGCTGGCGCGATGGTTCAACGGTGGACCGCGGGGGCAGAGCGGCGGGTTGGGTAGCGCGATGGGATGGGGCAGAGAAGGGAGGTTCCAGGGTGCCACGTGGTACTTCCGCGCCGTCCCGCCGCCACGGTTGTATAACAACTGGATGGGATATGAAGATACGGGCGTCGGTGGCACCGAGTGGGAGCGCAGTCATGGTCGGCCGTGCCTGCCTGCCATGTTTCTCCATCCGCTCAAGGACGTCAGGCCGACACCGAAGGGGTATTCATCTGAGTCGAGGTTGCCGTACTAAATATATTGACGATGATGTTTGAAAGAGATGTAGGCACAATTATGCTTGATCGAGATGAGAAGGGATAATGTCACACGTGTTGACTGTCTGAGTCTTGTGACGTCGTCGTCATGCTGCAATGCGATCATGGAGGCTGCGGAGGTACAGGTAGTGTACATAGAACCCCTTTTCGCCAACCTTGATCCTCCACGCCTAGCAAGGAATAGAGTCACGAGAGCTGGGGGCGAGAACCCCCTTTTCTGAAAGGCAAACCTGCATGGATCCAGACCACACCATGTTGAACTGAGGGATGATCACAGGGCGAACCATATTCCTTTCAAATCAGGAAGTGATCTTGTGCCTTTGTCGTCCACTCGTATCAGGCGCACGCACTGCCTAGAACTGCTAGAGTGCTTAGCTAAAACAAAGTCAAGACAGTTGACGTTCTTACCTTTTTGGTTGTGTTTTCACCGCTGTTGGGTTACGGATATCCGCTAATATGATGTTTTTTTTTGCTGGGTACCTATGTCATTGAACGTTGCAGGTTGGGATTTGCATTTTGCGCAATTCGCGTGCTCCCTGATCCTCGCTCGGGATGTGCTCTTCCAGAACGTACGATATACGCAGCATGGGAGTAGGGAGATTTCCTTGTCTTAAAATCCAGTCCCGCTGAGGAATGAGGATGGTCATGGTTTATCAGTCGTCAGGCTCCGTTCTCTGATGGGTAACTGTACCTAATAGAACCTATCCAAAGCAAGGGATACTTGCTTGATTCTTTCGAAAAGTGCAGTTGATTAAAAAAAAAAAAAAAAAAAAAAAAAAAAAAAAAAAAAAAGCCATGGCAATGTCAGATTCCATGTGACAACACGCACAGCGGAAGACGTGCACGATTCGCTCGTAAAAAAGGGCGAGTTCGACCAGTTTGAAACAAACGTTGATTGGCAGTCGATGGCGGTGAGGTGTGGGGTTCAATGAGCTGCAATGAGGCCAACCTGCACCCAAAATGCGCCAAAGTGCGCCAAAGTGGCACGATGTTCTTTCGGTCGCTCCCGGCTCTGTAGAATGCGCGGAAGCTGGACCCTGGTCTGTTGCCTGGAGACGGGACGTTTTGGAAGTTGTCAGCAACGAGAAACTGGTTGCAGCTGCGACCGAAGGAAGCTCGATCAGACGAGAACGAAAAGGCACGAACCAACACTCAGCCACTTTCTTTCAAATAGGAAATGCCTAATTGGTAGAAAGTTTACAGTCTGCACAGCTTGCAGCACGCAGGCCAAAAGTCCAGTCGAGTTTGGGCTTGTTGGGGAAAGCAGATGCTGACGAGGCTTGTGTGAGTCGATTGCCAGACGAGGCGATCGTGAAGATCAACCGAACATGGACAGTCCAACACGGCTCGATTTGGCGAGGAAAGGCCATTACAAAATTGTGATAGGTCCCCCTTCTTTCAAGACATATCGGCCTGAATCACCTAGGGATTTTTTTTTATTTAAAAACTGCCTCGAGATTACCTCTAGGTTCAGAGGCCCAAGGTGTTGGTGTATTGAGTATACTGACCGTAACGTCCAGGTGTTCGGTTTAGTGTAGAGGTACTCTTACGACCATTCGCCAGGGATCACTTTGGTTGGGTAGTGCAGCAACCCGGGCCGCTGTGTTCTGGCCTGTTGTGATTCAGTTGTACTGTGGAAAAGCGTCTTGTTGATAAGCGATCCGTAAGGTACACGTACACTATAGTACGGTACGTACCGAGTACACAACCCCATGGGCTTTCTGCAGGGTTAACTTTTGTGTCGAGCGGGAACGAGGAGAACGCAAATGTGAGGTACTCCTTTCCAAGGCTGGCGTTTAAAGAGCTGCTTTTCCCCAGCTTCACCTTCTTCCCTCCTGGTTCTGTCTGAACTAATCTTCTATAGTTGCATTCAATTGTCCTCAGTCGAGACGTTGTCTCATCATCAACCAACACCACCTTTGATTCTCCAGCCAACCGCCAAGACTCCACTCACCGAACCATACCTCTACATACCACTTACACCGAGATAATCACCTCGAAGACACCTCACGTTCCTCAGTTTCAAAACAAACTATCGAGTGAAATTGAAGAAGAGAGAAAAAAAAATAAAGACCGACTCAAGATGTCGCCCACACACACCATGTCCGCCCACCTCTGCAAGCAGATCTATTCTGCATGGTGTCAAGACCACACGGGTTCCCCTAAGCCCCATGCCACCAGCCCGCTGCCATCGCCCACCAACTCGTCTGTCTACTCGGGCTACTTCCAGCGATCGCCGTCCCCTGAGCAACACAAGCGGCCGATGGACAGTGACCGCTCATCGACCTCCAGCTGGCGATGGAACAACAAGGACAACTCTCGCTAAGATATTGAGATTTGAGGTTTCTTAGGAGGACTTGTTTTCTTGATTTTTTTTTATTTTTTATTTTTTTTGGCGGACATCCAATAACTGGCGCATACGAAACGGGACTGGGTATCTTAGCGGGACGGCGTATACTGTAATGCATTTCGGCGGTTTTTCAGCGGACAGCGGAGCTATCAACAGCGCGGGCAGTCCCTACAAGCGTTGGATATCATTTATACGACGGCAACAATAACAGCGACTTCTGCAAATTCCGGGCAACCAGACTACCAGCAACGAAACATCGCGACCATGAGTTCTACTGATACTCAGCCTTTCAGCGAAGGACTCAACCATTGCCCGTCCGTCTGCTTGTAATTCAGGAAGGCAGGCAGAGAAGCAGAGAGGCCTGTCCATGTTCTGTACAGAGGCTTTGTCACTCCAGATGCTAGTGCCACCACCTCCAGAGCTTTGTCAGCCCTACGAGCCCAGTCCCGAGTCTTGTCACCACAAGATTCCCAAGTTCGGCTCAGACAAGCGCCGGGCCGATACTCTCCCGTCCTGGGAACGATCGTTCGGTTTCGCGGCGGCAGTGGGTACATCGCTTTGTACATCGTCCCATTACACCATCTCATCACGCCATGTCGCTATACCTTTCGCCAATGCGGAGTGACCTTCGGATGGTATCACGCCATCGCACGCCGCTTCACTTACCTCCCTCTTTGTCTTCCTGCTTTTCAATATTTCCATTGGCATTGTCTGGCGTTGCACACGCACTCACTGGTGCCGTGTACCGTTTCGGTGCCGGTTTCCACGTCGGCGCTGGCGTTGATTAACGCTGAGGTATATGAGCGGGTGGCATGGGAAGATGGGATGTCATGTGGGAGTTTCTCATGTCAGTCAGTTTGTCGCTTGGTGCTTGACAAGTTGTCTCTGTGCGAGTTGAGGAGATATCATGATCATCGGCGGAGGATTATAATAGGATTGAAGCGGAATTGGAGACCCTCTTGAAAACAGCCTTGTCAGCAGATATTGTAATGTGTTGTGAATGAGCGCCCGAGTAGCGTTACGCTTGATGAGGCTCGTAAGATTTACAACCTTACCACACCTCTAGTCAGCGTCGATTCGGTAGACTTGGCGAGGAATGTGTTTCGTTTCCCCTAATAGCAAATGCTAGGCTGTGGTGTGAGCAAGCATGGTGGTTGCGGGGGATTACAGTCGTCTCCATGCGAAGCCCATCATTCATCCAAACACTTCCTTGCCCGTGACCATAGCAAGATTTAAAGGGAGATAGATTTGGCACAGATGATACTGAATTGCTCAACTCATGTAGAGACGACAGAGTAATAACAAATACCCATACTACACCCCCGAAAACGCCAGGTGAGTGAACAGGAGACAAACATGCGCATAACTCCTTTCTCTTTCTCATCATGATGCATATGAATGATGACCCCAGCGTCGGAGTTCCAGCCAACCCCTCTGCGAGTGACCCCTTCATCATTTTATACCCCTACTGTGTTCGCTACATTTCATCCCCACAAACCCAAACTCTTTCCGCGTCCAGTATGTCCCAAATCAAATCAATTCTCCCTCGCCTTCCTCCTCATCCATCCCCTCCTCATCCTCACTCCACTGCATCTCCGCAGCCGCCTTCTCTGCCAACCGTTGCACCTCAGCTAGCCCACTCAGCTCAGCTACGTAGTCCCGACTAGCCAGCGCCGTCTTGACAAACTCCCATCCGCCCTCCTTGTATGCGTCGAGGATGGGCTTGCTGCAGGCGCTGCACTGGGGGTACGACTTGCCGCGTATAACCATGTTCTGGAAGTTGGATAGGAAACCGCGGACCTGGTGCGGGACAAGACCGAGGGGATGGTCAGGAGGATCGCGCTCGTACGAGACGGCAGAGCCGGTGCCGGTCGAGACGGGCGCGGGCGCGTGTTGCTTGAGCGGGTGTTGCAGGATGCTGGTGAGAAGCTCGACGAGGAGGGCCGAAGCGATGGCTGCCACGCCGGGACGGGTGACGGTGCATTGTTGGTCAAGCGTTTGGTCTTTCATCGACTGGGTTTTGGACTCGGTTAGCTGCTTTCCCCAATTCGTTTTGGATGAGTCAGTATATCCTTACATCGGCAGCGACTACCACGTCGTTGCAGAAATAACATCCAAGGGTCTCTTCACTGCCGTCGTTCGGCGCCGCACCATGTCGCATGACAACGTAGGTGTCGAAGCCGAGCGCCGCATTCATCACGATCTTGTTCGCAGCTTTGCCCATCAGTGTGGGCAGCCATCGGGACTCGCGCGTGTCCATGAGGAGGAAGATCGCATCGTGTGAATCGATTAACTCCTTCAGCTTATCAAAGTCTGCTTTGGTTTTTGCCTCGTTGTGGATCGCGTGGTCCAGCATCGGAACAGAGAGTGCGTAGCCCTCCACATCAACTCCTGGATAAATTTCTCTAAGTGCCTCGGCAGCTTGAACAGCCTTCGGCTTTCCCCCATTGTGACAATCTTCAAACTTGAAGAGAGGCTGCCGTACTGGGTTTGAAAAAGATACGCTCCCATAATCAATAAACGTGATCTTGCGAACTCCCCACCCTAGCAGGTTTCTCGAGACATAGCTGCCGAGTGTCCCTGCGCCCAGCAACAAGCATTTCGTGTTCTTGATCGTGTCCAGGTCAAGATTCGGCGCGAGCCGCCACTTCATCAGCTTCAAGTTCAAGTCCACTGCCTGATCTGCTAGTCGAGTGGGATCCATGTACTCTGCCAGATTCGCGACCCGTGGCCTAAGATCACCGTTACCGTTCCTCTCCCAACCTGTAACCTTGGGCATACACTTCAACTCCACGTCGCCAACTTGGTCCATAGCCAGTGGCAGGATGGTGCTCCGCGCTTCATGCCTCCTAGGCTGCGTGTCGCGGTAGCAAAGAATCTGGACCTTATTGAGGCGGTATCTTTGCCGGATAAGGATGAGGAGATTGCGAAGAGGCCAGGAAGGGTACTCGGGATAGTTGGATGGGTCCACGAAAGCAACGTATCTGTCCTCTTCCGCCGCGTCGTTGAAGAATCCCGTCTCGAAGTCTCTGAGAGATCCAATATCCCAACGGTAGCCGATATCGACCCCGGGATCATCAAGTGAGGATCTTGGGCCTGCGGCCTCGCGACGCACTTTCTTTGCGAGGAAGAATCCATGCTCTCTCCTGTCAACCATGTATCGCCATGTTCCGATGCGCTCGACCAAAGCAGTGCTTTCGTCCGAGGTCAATCGGCCAATCGGCCCCGTTCGCTTCCACTGCGGCTCCGAGTGTAGGGCTGGAAATGCGAACCAGTAGGTGAACCTGTACTTCTTCAGGTCGGCGTATGACAGAATTCGGAAAGAGGCAAGTAGCGATGGGCAGGAGTATATCGTGCCGTCTTGAATGGCGTCCCAGATCTTTTATCCGCCCATTAGTAAGCCTTCATTACGGCGCAAGCACTGGCGCGACCCAAAGTGAAGCTGCTGGATACGAACCTGTTCGCCCGCCTTCTTGATCATCGCATTTTTGTCCGTGTTCTTGAATTCCTCGATCGTGTTGACGTTCTTAATGTAGCCTTCGGCTCTCGTCATGCCCAAGGGCCCGCTTTCGTCCCTATCATCAGGCTTTGGTTCGTAAAGTATAAAAGCAAGCGTGCACGGGAACTTACTGGTCGCTTGTTAGGGCGCTCCCTAAGATCTGCATTCTCGTACTGGCCTCTGGACTCGCGTGCGACCGAGGTTCGTATAAGCCCAAGACGGGGCGGGCCGAAGAGTCAAGCTTGTCATGGTCGAGTTTGGACGAGAAGAGGGCCGAGTAGAAGGGCAGCTCGATCTCCGAGGAGAATGTCGCAAACTTGAGATCCATGGATGACGGGGGCGCACAGCCGGCCGCGATGCGCGCTTAGAGACTTCGGATGGGGGGAACTACTGATAATGGATGTAACGACTTTCCTAATGTTGGCATGCGTTTTCTATCCCAAGAAGCAGCGGTCGAAGAAGGCTTAAGTTGGCAGCCTAGCGCACACGGTTGGAAGCTTATTGATGTACCCTTTTTGCGACAAGATTGACAGCAGTCTCGTCGTCTCTGGAGGGCGATCGTAAAATGAATCAAGAAGACGGGTTTACCAGAGTGTGGGCGGTGGTCAGCGGTTCTGCGTCATCTGCTGTCTTCCCTATGACCCGATCCCTTGTCACCGGACTATATACGCCGCCAGGATGCACTCGGGAACGTTTCACCGATATAGGAACCAAGTGGGCGACGATGGTCCAGAGAACACACCTTGACTGAAACTGCTGAAGTTGTGTGAATGGGGTAAGGGTAGCAGCGCGGAAATGACTCCTTTCATGAGCTGAGCGAATATATACTGAACGGGTTGGAAGAGGAGCTGGAATGTCCTGGTTTGTCTGTTTGTCACACCGGGAAGAACTGAAGCTTACATACTCAAGGCAGCTGTGCCCCGCATTAGGTTCTTGACCAACACCCGAAAGAGCGGCCAAGACGGGAGCGGTAATCCACTCCTGGTACATACGCACGATGGGTGGGAATACCCCGCCGGCAGATCCTCGGTGCCCTGATAGCGGCTGCACCCACTAAACGCGTTCCTAAAGTCGCCCGACGCGTCTTGTCGGGTCAAGGACAGTTAGTCGCATAAATTCGACCCCATCAAGAATTCGTTGAGTACACAGTAGATATAGATTGTAGGTTGTGTCTCAGATCGATGTCGTGATAGCCTTTTTTTCTCTTATCACATTCCTTTCAAGAACAGACTTAAAAGGAAACTCGCCATGTTCATCGGCATCTGCGGCAGTACATCAGCCCCTCTTGTCTTTCCATCTTCTACCCAGTTGAGTCACTTACACGCTGTCAATAGGTATTTGCGCCGGCAAGAGCACCATCGCTCAATATCTCGTTGAGCACCATGGCTTCACACGTGTATCTCTAGAGCATACAATTAAGACAATCGATGATATCGTCAGCGGAGAGACCCCAAATGATCATGTCAACGGTCTAATCCACAAACTCTTACCCGCCTACATCACCTCTCACACCCAATCTTCCACCTCCGCGCGCTCGAAGGGCCATGTCTTCCCCTCCGCCGACGATCTCCTCGACTTTATCACTAAGCACTGGCGCGAGCGATGGGTAACAACGGACATTCCCACCGAGGGGATCCTCGACATGTACACCCGCCGGCCTTTTTTCCTGCTTATCAGCGTCGATGCTCCCCTCACTGTCCGATGGCGCCGCTTCCGTGAGCGCGGGGAAAAACAACAACGTCACCGAAACAACATGAAGTCCTACTCCTCCTCCGCCGGCGGTGCCGCCCTTGAAGCTGGAGACGAAGAACAACAAGAAGAAGAAGAAGAACCCCTCATCTTCGAATCCTTCGCCCACCTCAACGACACGCAACTCTTCCTCCCACAAACCGGCCGGCTCCCACTGATGTCGCGCGCCACCGTCCGCCTTCTCAACACGTCGCCCTCTCTTGCGCATCTCTACGCCACGCTGGGGAATCTCGACCTGCTCAACCCGGACCGTCTCCGGCCCTCATGGGACTCGTACTTTATGGCGCTCGCCTCGCTCGCCGCGCAGCGGTCCAACTGCATGAAGCGGCGGGTCGGTTGCGTCGTGGTCCGCGACAAGCGCGTCATCAGCACGGGGTACAACGGCACGCCTCGGGGATTGATCAACTGCGGCGAGGGCGGGTGCGGGCGGTGCAACGAGGGCCAGGGGTCCGGGCAGGGATTGTCTACGTGTTTGTGCATGCACGCGGAGGAGAATGCGCTGTTGGAGGCCGGACGGGAGAGGGTGAGGGAGGGCGCTGTCTTGTATTGCGATACTTGCCCGTGCCTGACGTGCAGCATCAAGATTGCGCAGGTGGGGATCAGTGAAGTGGTGTATAGCCAGGGGTACAGTATGGACGGGGAGACGGCGGCGGTGTTTAGACAGGCGGGAGTCAAGTTGAGGCAATTCATTCCGGTAAGTGATGCTGTTGTGTTCCTTGCATGCTCATCCTTACCCTACATGACCTGCAAAAGTGGAGCTGGAGGTGATGATATGCTAACAACAACATTTGTGTGCAACAGCCAGCAAATGGTTTGATATACTTGGAGAAGACCGACTTTTTCCCTCAAACGTAAATGAGTTGGAGCATCGATAGACGTCAATCAACATGAACATGTAGAGAGGTACCAGTAACCATATCACTAGAAATGATGCACAACTCTACTGTAACAGTGACAACTTGGCAACGATACGAACCATAAATATAAGGCAACAGCATTCACTATGTATTATGACTGGCAGTTATGTTTGGATACTTGAGCAACAACATGCACAAACGCAACAAACGACATTGTCATGAGTAGACAAACTAGGTATCAATAATATTAAGAGATGACTGAAGTATAGAAGGAGCTTATAGTAGGCTGCAGCAGTGGTATAAAGGCGTTCAGGGTCCCCCACAAACGTCCACCTTTCCCTTGCTCCGACCTTGGCGATGGCGATATCTCAATGTCCGTTGAGGCTGCAGTCCACAAGTCCAAAGAAAAGTCGCCGTTGAAAAGCTCAAGGTTCGACTAGAAATGGCCCTCTTGCAGAGATTAACCATTTCCGTGTTGGCCGTGTTATCCCATGTCCTCCCTTGAACCGCAAAAGGAGAATCGAATACCGAGGGGGAAATGGTAATAAAGGTTGTGACCCAGCAAACAATGGCTGGAAAACGACCAATATCGGTATCGGATGATGGTGCGTGTGTCGGTAAAAATGAAATGACGAATCCGGGAGACCCTTCTTCCCATTCTCCAAACAACCGCGCCTTGAAATAGCACTCCTTGTCTTCCACTTTTGCAGCCAAGTAAGCTCATGAGGAAGCTCATAGTAAGTAGGAGGGCTTTCCTCCCCGTCCAAAACACCCATTCAATCCGAAAAACCCTCCCAAATTCATTTTCCACATACATACCACCCCTCTCCCAAAGGTCCAAATCATAACGATTTCATTAACATCCCTCATCCTATCTTCATCTCTTCATTGTGGCCGACATGTTCTTGCGTGAAATGGGAGAGGGGTAGGTTCAAACTTGTTGTTGAGTTTGTGTAGGTAGCTTAAAACTGGGCCTTGCGCTCCCGGCGAGCAGCGCACTTCTTGTGGATGAATAGAGCAACGAGGCCGACAAGAACGATGAAGACGACGCAGAAGACGACAATGACACCAGCCTCGCGGCCAGCCCAGTTGCTGCGCTTGGCGATAAGGTTGAGGGTGTCGCGGACGACAACGGAGCGCTGAATGGCAGGCATTTTGTGATATCTGGACGAGCAAAGCAATGTTAACAATCCTGCCCAAATGGAAGCTGGATGGCGATACCGAACAAGAGATTGTGGAAGGGAGGTTGGTAAAGAGTGGGGTATGATAGGCAAAGGCTGCCGGGGGCGGTGAGAAGGGGACCCATAGGCCGATCCAAGCCCGATTAAAGGCCGGTGGTGAGATGCCCAGGGTGCGAAGTGGATATCGCGTGAATGATGCGATGATCGTGGACTTCGCCAATCGTGGGCGCCAATTGGCAAACTGATGACGCCCGGGGAAAAACGCCATGTACCTGCAAGCTTGGCACTTGGCATCCGTCATGTTCCACCCTCTTACCGTTCCACAAAGCCAAGCCAAACACACGAGCTCCAGTTGCCATCCAACGCAACCATAGCAAATTGCAAAGCAAAGATCCGGAGCGGCCGAAGAAACAAAAAGTCCCTCTCGTCGCAACCCGAAATGCTATGCTATGTTTCTGTTGCTGGCTACATTGGCAGTCTGTGCTGGTGCAATGTGGCTTTGCTTGGGAGCAGGTGACAGGATCAAGGGAAAAGCGCGCGACGCAAGAGCATCAGTGCGCACATGACGTCCGCAACGGCTGGTCGGGCGGATAGATGATGATGGTGTTATGGGGGGAGAAGATAGACAGGTAGTCAAGGAACGGGAACGCTTACGGGTTGAGAAAACTCGAAATAAAGCCGAGGTGTAATAGGTATTAGTGATCCTGCGTTTCGCTAAACAGAAACGAGTCGGCAAGGGCAAAGCTTCAAGCTTGATGAGAACGGAGACGGGTTGGATGAGGGCCGTAGGGTCGAAATATATTCGATTATGGAGGTGGATAAGAGGAGGAGAATTGGCGAACAACACAGGACGAGGGCAGGGAGATTTTGTGAGGATATGCAGAACCGACTTGGAATAGCGGGCTAGGGCGGAAAGTCTCCTGTCTGGATGATTGCTGTCGAGTGAGGTTGAGGGGAAGGGAAGAGAAGAGAGGAATGGGCGCGTGAATCGAAGGGGCAGACGGGGAAGAAAAGAGAGAAACAAAATACCTCCAGTGGAGCTTTTTACTGTCGTCTGTTTCTCTTGACGGGAGGGGGGGGGGGTGCGTGTTGTCCGCGATTGATGCCGCCGGGGCAACCGATTGAGATGGGGTGTGAATCCGGCAGGAGGGAGTGGAAGAACTCGCTCCCGTCGAACTGCAGCCAGACTGCAGGCGAGACTGGCTGCCAGGTTACCGTGCCGAAGTCCATCCCACGGCCCACGATACTTCCTTACGGGCACTACTACTTACACATCACCACCCAACCACGCCCCAGCCAAAGAGAGAGGGAAAAAAAAAAAAAAAAAAAAAAAAAAAAAAAAAAAAAAAACCGTTAGTGCGAGGGCGTCGAGGGACTGTGCACGGTACGCTGACCAGTAGAGCTCTGGGCGCGGGAGGTTCCACTTGATCCAAAGCTTGGCCACCCGGAAGACGGGCAGTGGACGGAGAGCTTGTCACGGTTTGGCTTGCAGGGCGGGAGGAGCAGGGCATCCCTCACTCCATTGCGCGAATTTACCCCATGCTCTCTCGATGCGGGCCTGACCGTCAGAACGACACGACAAGGACCCCAACCAGTCAACCGACCACTCCAACCACCACCACATCAGTCGGATCCGATGGCCGATGGAGTAGTGCCGTGACCTCTTTCTCCCAGCCCTGGCTATTCCCTGCAAAAGCTCTGCCTTGCTGACAGCTTGGTTCTCTTCGTCCCGTCCCTTCTGATGGTAACTCCCCTGCAAATCGCCTTACTGACAGCAACTTTGACATCAGGCACACAACAACAACAACAACAACAACAACAACAGCGCCTGTCGAGGAGCCTTTTCGGCCAAAAGAGCAAACCCTGGCCTGCCTCTGCTTAACTGGGCCAGCGATATCCGTCATTCCGTCCAGGCCCCATTCGACGACGAGCACGACCTAGCGGTGCCATTACGGCGTTCGCTGCCGACACAAGCGGACACCGCACAATGCCGGTCGGTCGTGCTCCGCGCTTGTGGATTACCCTCCGGTGGTACCTGCTTCTTAGCCGCTACCCTAGCTCACCTTGGTAGGTGTTGGTGCGGATTGTACGTAGCAGCGAGCCAACGACGAGAGGCACCAACGGCCCTGTTGTCCACCGACCTCTCACCGAACCAAGGCTTGCAAGGTACTGTGTACAAAGGATAAGGCAAGGATCATCCGGTGGAGATTGTGGACCGAGAATCACCGTGGTCATGGCGATTTGCGACGGAGGGGGGAAAAAAAAAGAAGCCCAGTGTAGAAACAAAAGCACGAAGGAAGCACGACTCGCGCCGCCAACCACATCCTCCCATCCATTCAGCCAGCAGACCCTCCACATAGGCAAGGCGGTCGTGAAGAACCCACAGTTCTTCAGGTACCGTTCTTTCTGCTGCAGATGGGCGGAAACGGGAACCATCGGAGCGGCGCAATGATGGAACAAAAAGCCATTTTCGGCTTTGGCGCTGCTTAGTTGTGCATAGCTAGAGGAAACCTAAATAATCGGACGCAGACCGCATGTCTGGAGACCCTGAGAGAACTTAAGGTTGTGCAAATATTTTGTGTGCGGGAATTGTTGACCAGACATTATCAACGTCTTCGCAGTCCCGCGGAGGGTGAATAAAGAACGGGGAAAAGCACTTCACCACTTCAATCTTATGTGATACACCAAGTTTAACCGCCTCGGCAATCAGGTCTTGGATGGAGGTCGTTCCTTCATCGCCTTCGCTTCATTTTACCCCGGCTGGGGAATAGTTGGAGGAGATCATCACCGAGGTCGTAACTAGCGAGGCAGCTGAGTTCGATACAGAGAGCATGGGGAATGGATGGTAGTGTAGTCGTCCTGGCGTCACGATCTGACTGATGAGCTGTTTTGTGGTAACAGCACCAGCACATCGTAGTGGGGATCGCGAAGCACCCTAGCCATAAGCTCGGACCAGCTGGCTGAAGAGTGGAACAAGTCATTTTACCTGGGCTCCAGTCGGCCAGTCGCAACTCCATCTGGGGGACCGTCTTAGCTCCATTCCAACGAAAGTAAATTGTTCATTGGTTGCAGTGTCGCAATGGTCAGTTGGTCGGTGAAGAGCAGACGCTCTATGTATGTACGCAGTACATACGCAAAAATGCTTATGCAGATGACAAAAGCTCATGTACCTTCCCACGCCCACGCAAAAACCCAAGTACAAGATACTTGCCCCGGCTTTTCTTCCAGCTATTGCATCAACTCTACCGGAACCGGATATAAGCCTCATCCGGGTAAATAGCCTCCTTTTGGGCGCGCTGAGCTGACTGATGCAATCAGGTTTACGATATACCAGTTCTTCGGGAAGTCGTGACAAAAGCATCAAAGACAAAAAGTGACTGGACTTGGCGCCAAGAGAGACAGCTGGCGCAGGTAGGGTGGAGATAGTTACATGAGTTTCTCCCTTCTGCATATACCGAGCTTTGCCGTTTCCACGCGCTCCCTCGATGGCCCCCACTTTGCGGGCTCTCTCGACAGTGCTTTTGATGCTCTGTTGCGGTTTCTCGTCTCTACGCGCGCGACGTTCGGCACCATTTCGCACCAGGCTCGTCTAAGACAAATTGACGTACTATGTACATATGTACACCTTTGCGTGGATATAACTTGCTAGTTCGGTACGCTGGTCATCCAAGAAACAGGGGCCAGATGAGTGTTAAGCCATACATTTCTTGTATGAAAGCTGAGGTTCTTTGCCCTCTCCAGAAAGCCACGCTAACAGATTACATCCCTACAGAGGTGTACCGTGTACACCAGACTGCAGCCGGGTCACCCGGGCCAGACCACCGAGACCATGCCACCGCCGCAAACACCAAGGACGGCTTTCATTCCTCTCATTACTTTGGTTTCTTTCATGCGTTCTCATGGTCATCAAAACAGTTCCCAGTAGCTGTTCACAGCCCTACAAAGTCGTTGGTGTCTTCTCAATCCGCCGTTGACATTCCGCTTTGGAGTCCACGTTTATTCGTCTTGGATGAGGCAGGCCGGGATGGGCTCAGGAACCGCGCAGGAACGTCAGAAAAACCCACTGGAAAAAAGGTTGTCGAGGGTTCGACCTGGACTGGAACAAAAAAAACTTGATCCGCCAGATACCGAAGATGCCTGACTAGAGACCAGGGAGCCTGTGCTCACTCAAAGCTCGCCCTCCGAAATTTGTGCTTATCTGCCCGAGTCCACGACGGAGAATGCCCGCGAGCGGTGACGATTGTGAATAGTCTGACAACTGAAAGCCACCAGTGGTTGTTCAGTGGTTACTCTGGGAGCCATATCATATATGTGTTGCATTGAATTATTTCCGGTTGACTCCATAACTTACCTTCTTGTGTGCATGCTCTATGCATGACCCCATGCGACGATATGCACCAGTCATATCCCGAGCAACGCATCTTGCGTCCCTTTGTGTGGATGCCCGCGCTGCCGTGGTTCCTTCAAGCTTTTTCTGCATGCGGCCTTTCCGAGCCTTCCATGCGGTACCCCTTTTCCGGCTGCAGCTCGCTGGCTTCGAGAAGTACCTTGGAAGCAGATTGCAGCCAAAGGCAGCCACTGAGAGAAGCCAGAATAGTGTACAGCCAAGGGCACACAACTCGGGAACTGCTGGCATCCCACGACCAGGTGGATATCCGCTTAAAACACTGAATCTCGAATCTGTCAGGAACACAGAGGTTTCTCATTGTTTGCTATAGGAATGGTGAACGGCGCACTACCAAGCTGTGGTTCCTCTTCCCATGGTAATCAAAAGTCCCATTCAATGCTTCTCACAAAGTCAGTCCTATCCGAATCCTGCCAGCCACAAAGTTTACAGACACCATCCGAACGCCCTCATCCGTCGCATTTCCGGATCCTAGCCAACCTCCACCCCCGTTCATTTTCACAGTAGTGTACCCAACCTCCACGACCAAATTGCGCTAAGGGAAATCTCCATCACTCTGGCTTTTAGTCTGGTCAGCACGTTATCTGTGCCAGTCCGGGGGAGGGCAGGCAATAGGGAAGGGCAGGGGTAGCAGCGAGGACGAATGGCGCAGAAGGGACGGGAATGCGTGCGCAGGAATGAATGTGTATCTGGATGGAAATTTTTTGTATTGGTGTTGTGTTGTGTGAATCGGTCGCCCAGTGCTGGCCGTTGTCTTTTGCGTTGACCGAGAGTTTTCAAGCCTTCTTGTTCGTCCCATGCCCCGTTTACCGGAAGAGAAAGAGTGTTCTCTATGCTTACCTGACAGATGGCGTGTGCCGCCCGCCAGCCTGTATGATGAGAAATAGCAGTAAAATCTTCATCCTGAAGTTTATCGAGTTGAGCGATGCCTATTGCGGGTTGTCTCCCTTGCTTGGGTAATTCAGGTACACCGTATCACCGCTCTTACTACCTTATATCTATATCTGCCCTAACCAGTCTATGTGCATACTTTCCAGTGCCAGCCTGTGTCGACGGAGGTATTTGATTCCTCCAAACGTTCGCCCCGAGTTCCTGAGTCCGGAGAAGCCACGTGTGAATGAATCGCACCGCATCCCTGTTGCCAGTAACACCAGAGACAGATGGACTGCGGTGTCTATAGCCTGTCAGGAGGACTGCCAGATCGGTAATCCTTGGAATGGCGGGGCCCCGGATCATAAGATAAATGTGCAAACTCTTCTGATAGAATGGCTGTAGAGTTGTTTCTAGCTCAAACGCGATCGAACGGGTTGGGCATCGCTACCATCGACTGCTGTCCCGGGCCAGTCACAGGGCCAATTACCGGGACAGCTCAACGATATCTTGGCTGACATAGAAATAGGGACAAGATGATGAAGTTCAAACTGAGCTGGATGACGAATAAGGAGAAAGCAGCATACTGTAAGCAACAGTGCGATGATGCCAATCGGCAGGCAGCCTGTGTCAAGTGAGTCTGATATGCCAGCCTTGATTGCCGACAACTATCTTGCGACAATTTCTCAAGCTAATTGTGAAAGATGGAACACTCCTGGAACAGTAGGCGACTCGGATTGTTCAACCCCTATTATAGGATTACGTGATATACGTGCTGTTAGACTGTTATGCGCAAGTCAAAGTGATATATCTTTCCAGGCAATTGGAGGAGAAGACTGAGAACATTACGAAGGGCTTTTGCCCGAATTCCTCAGAGCAGACACAGCTTGCTCTCAAAGGAGTAAGATTCACTCTGAGCAGAGAAGAATGAGCGGGGGGAAGTCCAAGGAAAGAAGGGTCAATGAAGGGGACGGGATCTCACGTCGACTTAAACTGATGAGCTGATAGAGCACGATTCACCGAACGGAAAGAGAATGCGCTTGCTCGCGCGGAAAACCAGACCCAGGTATGAAAGAAAAGAGAAAAAAAGTATGTTACAGTTTTTGCGAGACTCGACGCGTTTTCGTTCGACCCTTGTTGTGTCGATGAATGAGTGAAGTGTCAACAAGTTCTCGATGTTGTCGCGAATATCAATTCAAGTGATGGTTCGTGAGGATGGTGGATCCCCGAGCGGAACAGATGGCCCAGCGCTTAACCCTAACCCTGATGGTGGGTTTTTGCTTGGTGCTGGGTTCGGCAGTGGCCGGCAACAAGCTTTGGTCTTGCCTGCCCGGCGCCTGAAAGCTTGTTTGCCAAGCAACCACTGGCACATTTGAAGTCCCACACTGGACTGTCCCGCGACACCTGGGTTCGGGTCGAGTGTTGACCTCAAGTTTCGCGGCGCGCGACTCGGGTATCAGTTTTTCCTTTGACTTGCGACTGACGACAACAGAAGACGCCCGGAACCCAGCCATTGACGAGCTCAACCTCCCGCGTGCACCCACGGCGACGGCCATTCATCTGTTAGTAATCATCATCGACAGCGAGGACGACTTATAGGTTACAACAGCAGCTTAATCGATCGGCTGCAGTACGGTCGCAAAATTGGACGACATCATCGACAAGATCAGTGACGATACTGATAGACCTATCAACCCCATCAAAGAACGAAGAGCGCCCTCCGACCACCCAGTACATCATCGCTTCACGATCACCCTCTATACTTCAACCTGATTTCTCAACTTGACTATGGCGACGACCGTGACCCGAACTGTCCTGACTCCGGTCAAGCAAACCGCCCCCGGCGCCACGGTCCAAGCGGGTCCTGGCAACTGGAGGCATCCTCTACTGGCCGAACTGGAGAAACGGCGAAGAAGGACTGTCTTTGGCGAAGAGAACGTGAGGCAGATTGCATACAACTCTTTGGCACTCTTCGTCATCGAGAGTCTACGGGCAGTTTTGCATCCTTACTTGCGCGTGGAATTGTACGCAACTTCCCCCCCCCCCCCCCCCCCCCCCAACCGTCTCATCCCATGAACTAAACTTGTCTTGGGGACAACCGTAAAATAGATGGTACCGCCGATGCTGACCGTTGATGTGTTAGCCTCACCTTGAGCTGGAAAAGCTACGGTAGCTGGATCTACGCCGCTCTTCTCCTGGTCCCTCTGGTCAACATTGTTATAGCATTACTGCCGCTCTTCCGCCCGGCAGATGACTTCGCCGACATCCCCCTGACGCCTTCCCAAAGGAAGCTTCTCGGACTGCCACCGATCGCGAAAGCGACCCCAGGGGCCACCGCTATCAGCACACCTCCCAAGTATTCCCGGACGCCATCAATGGCAGGAACGCCAGCTAGCATGAAAACGGGCGGCTCTGCGCTGTCGATGGCCAAGAACGGTAGCTCGGAAATAACTCTCAGCGAGCCGTACTCGCCTTCGCCCGTCAGCCCTCTGTTTCAGAAGGTCATGCAAGGGAACAAGCAGTTTACGGTGAACGCTTTCAGCCCGCTCGGCGCCAGCACGATGAGCAACCCCTTTGGATCGAGCATCAGCAGCAGCGCTTTTGGTTCTAGCACAGGCAGCAGTGTGTTTGGCGAGGGTCCGGCCACGCCGACCCCGGCGTCTGGAAAGCGGTCGAATGTGTCGAGTGTTGCGCTGACCAACAAGTGGCTGTTTGAGAAGCGAAGGAGGCCGGATTGCTGACTTCTGCTGGTATGTTCTCCTCAGGACTTGACCTTTGTTTGCTCACTCGCGCTTCTTCCTCAACCAGTGGTGGTTTCCTCCTATGTCGAATAGAGATAGCAGTAGCGTGATGCAGCAGAGTCTGTGATCACCATTACTTTACTCTGACAGGATTTTTCCTGCAGTCTTCGAGATCTTTCCATTGTATCTAAGCTAAGGTCTGGCGCTGAGAACGGTCTGTGTGGCTCTTCACTTTCAAGAGGCGGCACGTTGATATCCAGTCAGTCAATGATGCGGGTTTCCGTTTTGGGGTGCATTTTCTTAGCGAGAAGAGAACCATTGATCCAAGATACCCATTTGTTTCTTATTTTACTTTTATCTTTTCTTTCATCAATCCCAAAAGTCTTCTTTCGAGCTTTCGATATGCCGATTATGACTATGAGGGTATAACGAGACCCTGTCTACTCGATTACCCATCGTAGGTGAGTGGAGTCATTTATTTCACTTTGCATCGCTCTCTGTATGGTCGGTTGGTAGGTAGTACAGGTTCTTTGTGTCGATTCACTCAAATCTGAAGTTCAGCGGCATCCTGTTGCTGCTGTTCTGCTTCGATTTCCCTTCCTCTCATTGTCACTTTCCCCATGGTATCATTTGCGCTCTCAATAACAGAAATGGATCAGCATAATTAACAAAAAGGCGTTCCCGAAAGTGTCCGCTTATCAAAAAGTGTGGTTGTTGAAGAGAATCCATCTAAGCCCAATCCCTGTTTTACATCAATATCCAAATCACATCATTAGAATCTTTCCACCTTTCCTTCCTCTCCTCCCTTGTGTTTCACCCCCTTATCACCGCCAACGCACCCCCTCGTCCACCCTAAGAACTCGGCGCTGGGCTCGGCGTATTTACCAGCGTTTCTGGACTCTCGCCCTCCGACTGATTCCTCGTCGGCAGATTGAGCAGGTTAGGATTATTGTTCGACGGTGGTGGCGGCACACTAGCAGCAGCGACCGCTTTGCCCTTTTCCGGTTTCGTCGATCTACCACGATTCTTCTCCTCGTCACTATCTTCCGCTTCTTCGAGGATCGTGGAGGTTCCGGGGGCGATGGCCACTACCACAGAGGGTGGTTTTTTGAGTCCATTGTTATTATTCCCGCTGGAGGGGTTACCGCTGCTGCTAATCACGTTCTCATCGACGGGAGAAGCGGGGACGACAACGACTTTGTCTAGAGTGACGAGAGGCCCGGCGGGGCCATGTTCTGTTGACGGAGGCGAAGGGAAGGATGTTAGTGAGGACCCACCAACGGCAGCGGTTTGTTGTGGCTGTAGTTGTTGCTGTTCTTTCGAAGGCTGCTGCTGATGGGAGCCCTCGGACTTTGCTGCCTTTAGTCGCGAATCCCGCGCCAACACTTCCTTCGCCAGCCCCTTCACGCCAGCGACGATGATCTCGGGCCGCGTGAAAGCTAGCAATCCTTCAGCGTGTCCTGAGACGCGCTCTTGGAAGACGACGTCATAGACGGAATTGCCCCATGCCGGGCAGACGTAGGTGTGTTGTTCGGCTGAGCGGGCAGCGGCTTGGGCGCGGGACAAAGGGACTTGCTTGTTGAGAGTGGGGAGAGCGTCGCTTGATGCTCCTGCAGCAGCTTTGGCTGTTGTCGTTTCAGTGGAATCCTGTCCTGCTGCTGGAGATCTACCGCCGTTGCTCCCCGTGCCCGTGAAGACTGTTATCGCGACCTTGGGCTTCTTCCCGCTCAATTTGCTCGCGCTACTTTTTTCACCATCATCCTCAGGATAGGCCGCGCAATGCGCCCAGTACCTCATGGCCGTCTCCGGACCGGGTAACCACAACATGTTTGTCAGCGTAATGATCTTCTCATGCGTGAAAAATGGCGAGGACAAGGCTGTTTCATCCAACCCCATGGCACGCAACCCCCTCAGCACGAAGACGAGCATGCCGGTAGGGGAGTCGCACAGCGCGTAAGCCAGCGTGTTGGGGTCCTCTGCGAGACCACCATCGCCACCACCGAGAGAGTTCAGGCCCATCTTCCTCTTTTCCTTATTGGTTGTCTTCCTCCCGTTGCCATTGTTCCCCGCCGCCCAAGGCCCCCAATCCTCCCCTTTATATCCCCACTTCTCCTTCTTCAACATCTTGGCCACCATCCACTTAACCCACGCCCCGGTACCTTGCTCGTTTCTGGTTGGCGCTTTGAGGGGGGGAGCAATCAGGTGCGCGCCCACGCACGACTTGGTGTGGTGCGTGGCCAGCCTGTTGACCACCCGGAAGTCGATGGCAGCTGGCGAGAGGTGGCCCGGTCCGGAACCAGTGACAAGGTACTGGGCGTAGCCAAGGCGGCGCATCAGAGTGTCGAGGATCGTGGCGGAGGCGGGGATGGGGGGGATGTTGGCTGGGAGGGCGTCGCTTAGACCGAGACCGGGGAGGGAGGGGATGACGAGATGGAAGGTTTGTTGTCTCGGAGAAGTGCCATCTTCTGTTGCCGCATCAGGATCTGTGAGAGGCTTGATGAGGTGCCCCAGGGACAGGTTGGTGAAGGGGAACGGAGGGACCAGGAGGAGAGGCACGGCCTCGGGGTGTGGAGAGCGGGCGTGGATGAAATGGACTCGGAGGGCGGCGTTGCCGAGATTCGGAAGGGTGATGGTGGTGCGGAACTGGGGGAGGGTGCTGTTGAGCGTGCTTTCCGCTTCGCGCCAGGAGTATCTCTCGAGCCTATGCAGGAGTTACATGTTAGTCTAGTGTCCTGCTGCCCCTAAACCCATGACCAAATATGCCATCTGGCGTCGGTGTTGTGCATACCAAAAATCAATGAGCGGTTCCACGATCGGCTTCGGCTCCCACCAATCTTTAGACCTGTTGCCTGAGCTGGAACCTTCGTGGGGAAGACGAGTAAGCTCGAGCTTCTGTCTGGTGAGGTCAAGATGCTTGGTCGGGATCTGGTGATCGCGGATTAGCTAAATGTCTCAGCATAAAGACGAGTTGGGCTATATGTACTCACATGAATCTTATAAGCCTTCACTTCCTCATCCGGCGCAACCTGGACATCACTGCTTGGATCCGCCATCGAAGATCCCGCTATATTATCTCTCGTTTTCCAAAGAGCTTGTTATGCAGTATTCGAAGCTCTGGTATGAGAGAACGAGAAGATAGTTCTGGTCAGTGAATTACAAATGTGACGATTTAACGAAAACGACAGTCGAATAATCGATCGAAAGAGTTCACCGGTAAATAAGAAAACAAGGTGAAGGGTGAAAGTTTCAGTGCCACCTAGACACGCAGCGGTCCCTCAAAGAGATATGTATATATGCAAGAGGGGAAGGAAGGATTAAATAATAACAGAACGAAAGAAGTCTTCAGCCACTAGCCGGAGATATGGGCATAGACTGGAGAAAGTTAGGAAGATGTAGGGGACTAGGTAGGTAGGTAGGTAGGTAGGTAGATGTGGTCGGTACAGAGGAGGGAGGAGGTAGGTATAGTGCCGTAGAGGCACCCCCCTTTCTCTCTCGTCCTCCTCTTCCTCCCCTTTCCTAGTTTGTAAACCCTTTCCTAGTTTGTAAGTACAGAAAAGGATATTTCAGGACCTGCATGCGGACTCGAAGAAAGCTGTAAAGCCGTTGGCGCACCTTTGTCAGGCCATCCAAAAGGCAAGCCAAGAGAAAAAGTACCTACTTGTTGCTGCGCTTATGCAAAAGTTGACTATTACAACCGTGTACATGGGTACTTGGCGGAGATAATTCTACTGCCTGCAGCCAGCAGCCAGCATGTGCGCCCCAAAAGTAATAGCGCCAGAAAACCAGAACACCGGAAACGAGGAGGGTACGTTGACAGGCATTTTCCGAAGCCATTCTAGTGTATGTATGTGCGCACTTCCATCGGGTGCGCAATGTGCACTACCAGCATTCTTCTCCTGTATGCTGGATGTACAGTTGTCGGATTCTTGCTATTATAGCTTTGGTCTCTGTTGTTTGTGACAAGCACCTAGTTAGGTCTAACTACTATGTAGACTAGGCGCTTGTGCCCCACCCCCGGGGGTCCATATTTCCCTGTGACCTAGACATCGCATCACAGACTTCTTTCTTTTTCCTTTCTTTTTTGCACAACCGGAAAACTTCAGTTGCCGACACGCGCGTGCCTTTGCTTTGGCTTAGCTCGGCCATTCGGAGGAAATCCTACGAAGGAACCCAGGATCTGGCATCCGGTACAATGAAAGGACGGCAGCAATGCGCGCCATATCGCGTGGGTATGATACCGTAGTCATATTTAAGGGGTCAGACTAGGTCGGGTAAGGCCCGGGGGTTGGGCCTGTTTAGCTTGATGGGGGAGGGGGGGTGGGTGTCCAAACTGACGACAAGGTCACAAGCCTGCAATGCGAGAGGAGGGGCGATATAAGAGGAGACAGAAAGAAAAGAGAAAGACGATCTCGAAGTCAAGAGATGGACGATGCCAAATCCTCAAATCATGGGACAAAGGGACTTGTCTGTCGCATATCGGAATTCTAGACTTCACTAGATAGGTGAATAGTCCTCCATTGATGTCCCTTCCACGAGACCAATAGGCGTCCATCGTCATCATCCCCACGAACCGTTGGACTTTCACTTGACGCGCGCCGCGCAAAAACGCACCGCACCCTGGCGATCTCACAACCACCCGCCCTACCACTCTGCCGCCTATCTGTGGCTAGAGCACCACCTTGCACAATAGAACTTAAGGCCTTCTGCCCCCAATTGGCCGGCTTCCCCAATTTGCCGCGGCAGCAGCCACATGAGCCGTGCCTTGGAAGTCATGAAACAGTGGCGGTGCTGACGAGTCCTTGCATCAAGATCCCTACCTGTACTTTGTGAACCCTTGCAGGGTTTCTGAACGGGAAATTGATCAGCAATTTGACGATTTGACGATGGGATGGGGTGCAATAGCAGTATGCCACTACCTATGTTGTCTTGGGTTTGTGCCTGCGGGGGAAAGTTTGGGGTTCTTCACTTCTGTCCTTTAAAAGAAAAGAAAACAAACACCGAGGTTCTGTTGCCCGGGGGGGAGGGAGGCCGAGAGAGGGACAAAACCTTGTTAATAGCGAAGACTGAGCGCACTTGAACCAAGCATCGAGTAACCGCGGTACATGTCACATCACAGCTTGACAACATGTGGGGACTTTGAGATGGGGGTAAAGCGACTGGTCTTGCTATCATCAACCAAATTCGAACCAGACGCATTGCGTATGTTACACACCCACCTGCCCAATTGGTATTATGTTTTTTATGCTACACGACATCGATGTAAGCAAGGCGTCCGTCTGCATTCGCCACTCTCTTGGTAGAGCGATGGGCCAACAATGTGGCTTACGGATGATCTTGAAGCTCATTATTTTGTTATGTACGTATCTCTGTAGCTGTTCTATCAACTGCACCTGGTCGAGCAGATCTGTGGGCGGCCTCCCTTGGACTTTATGTCCGCCCATCGTCCTTTTACAGTCCTTGAAACCTCCTAGTATCACATCCTCAATACTCCACCCTCAGGCATGTTACCCAACAGCCCGAGAAGGCCGCTCACTTGTGGTGTAATCGATCGCCGCCACACGACGCCGGTCTTTTTGTCGCCACAATGGCACCTCAGCCACAAACGAAACCAATGACTGCAATTTGTGTTCCCCCTATTTCCCTTCCAAGAATCATGCACAACAGCCAACAAACCAAGCTGAAACCCATCACCACACATTCTTCTAGCCGATCCGTCGCGGGGCCTGGGCTCCTCCTGGAGGAACAGCTGAACCTGCAGCCCCCCGGAGGTTGATAGCTCCGATGCGAGATACAATGTTGCTTCCAACCGCGTCCACGGCTCCACGTGGGGAAGTCAGCGAAGGGCCCTGTGCTGCCGTCTGTTGTACGTGGAAGAGCTTGATGTTGGTCGTATTCCAGATGCCCACAGTGCCTCTGGCAACCTGCATTTCGCTGGCAAAGACGAACCCCCAAAGCAGGGACTCGTACCATCCCAGCGCCATTGGCGACCATTCAAACATGTGAACCCGTACAGGCGAGGCATCCACACCAACAAGTTGGATCTCCTGGATCCTCTGTAAAACTGCCGGCGTGGGCGAGTCTGTAGCAATGGATTGGCGAGGTAGCAGCGCTGTGAGCTGATTGATCAGCGTCAAGATGGTATGAAGCGGCAACTCTGGAAGCCAACTATCAATCCATTCTGCGGTTGGCTCAAAGGCCCCGGTCTGGGACTGGCCGGATATAGAGTAGCCGCCCAAGCTGGTTGTGCTGTTTTGCCGAGAGAAGCGCGGTCCTGCCGGCATCTTACCCCTGGCCTTTTCCGACATGCCTCGAAGCTGTCTAGGTACACCACTGCCATCCGCATGGGGCTCTACAGAAGATGCACGGGACGGATTCTCGCTATGGCTTGAGGGAGACGGGGTGGGCCGTTGCTCATTATCGCTGTCGTCATCGTCACCTACGGCGAATGCTCCATCCTCGGGAACATCATGGAGCGTAGGAACCTGCGTGATAGACGTTGTGGGGCTCCGCAGACTTTCCAACGAGCTCCTCGTCGAGTTAGTCTCCAATGGGTCATTTGAGGCTGCAGCCTCCTTCTTTTTTCGGTTACGTCTCTCTATCTCCTCCTGGCCGCTTTCCAGTGTGAAAGAGCGCAGGGCTTCGAATCGCTTTCTATTCCTAATTATGGCGTATATGAAGTGAGGGTTCTCTGCGCGAATTTATCAGAACACAAGTCAACCAACGCCCCAGTAATAGTGTGACTTACTCTTGTACTGATGCTCCACAATCGCATTGATGGACTCTAACAATGATCTTAGTAGATTATGGTTTGTGTCATTCGCCATCAGGAACGAAGGGGATGACATTGAGTTATAGAGTTGGATGAGTCTGGTGCAAGTAGATCCGCTGAGTCCCTCGAGGTAAGCGGATATGTTATTAATAACAGCCAGGAGCGCAGGATATATAACGGTCAGCTTCCCCTGACTCTTGGTGATGAGATTATATATAGACTAGCGGCTGGTTAGAATCAGAGTCACAGATGTGTGCTTGGGGAAACTCACTTGGATTAGGAAGTCTGCATAGGTTCCCCTGAAGCCAGTAATCCGAATAGCCGGGGGAAGCGTCTCTTGGGCCTCAAACATTTTGTTGAGGTTGATGCCGAAGTTCTTCTCTGCGCTGAGAGTCTGGAGCAGGAAAGCACACATCCTCACCACGCCCTGCTTCGATGCGTCGCCCTTGTATTCGAGCGCATAGAATAAAACGAAAATTACAAAGTCATGTGCTCGTTCCGTGTCGATCATGAAAGAGCGGAAGCGTTTATTGCACTGGGTCAGTTCCCAGAATAGCATGATGGTCTCGGGAGCGAATCGAACTGAGTTCTGTGCCCCCGGGATATAGGAAGCATTGGCCTGGAGCGGTTGATGCAGTATCCGCGTCATGCCATCCACGATGAACTGGAAATCTTGGGGCCGATGGAGTCTGCCAGCAAAGTGACGGTAGAAGTTCTTGGGGGTCAGAACTCCTGGCTCCTCTGGGACAGGATAGAGCAGAACCACCAAGAGAAATTGTAGGGTGTATGTGACGAGAATTTGTTTTGGATCCTTGAAAACTAGAGTGTTGTACGGCACGCGCCAGGTGGCAGGGTTATACTTGAGTGTCTAGCACATGGTTAGTATGTATGACTTGCGCGGACGGATATGGTAACTTGCCGTGTTCAGAAGCGAGCACAAGACTGAGAGAACCACTTGCTTGTCTGGACACGTGCATATGTGGGTGAGGGCCCGGGCTCCCTTCAGCGGCAAGACACTCGGCGACATGTACATGCTTTGGCTCGTCAGGGTCAAGAGCAACCGCAGGATTTCACATCGGTTACTCTCATGCTCTTTGGTCGTCGGTATCGATGTCGCACAGCCCACGCCGCTCTGCCAGATCGAATAGCTGACCTTGGGACTGCCGTGTGGTTGTCTTGGTACCGTCAGGTCGGAGAAGAACAGCAAATCGATAAGGGTGTCGATAAGCTCCTCGGCTAGCGGCTTTGCGTCCTCGAACTCTTCGGGCGGTCTAGGCTGGACCT